ATCAAAAGACGAATTGAATTGCATTGGGAAAGTCTGCTGTCAGGGACCTCTCCAGAGCACTGAAGAGCAGTGATGTCAGTATGGAAACTAACGTGTGCCTGATCTAGGCCATAGTCTTTGCAACTGTTTGCTATACATCAGAGAGCTGGACAATGAATGACTACGGTTGACAAAGGAGAATTGATGTCTTTGAGTTGTGGTGCTGGAGAAGAGCACTGAGTTTACCATGGAATGCTGAGAGAACAAATAGGTTTGTCCTAGAGAGGATGAAACCAGTCGGCTCTCTGGAGGCAAAGATTCTAACACTTTGTCTAACATACTTTGGACATGTTGCAAGGAGTGACTGACCAGTCCTTACAGAAGGACATCAAGCTTGGGAGGGTGGAGAGACAGCACAAAAGAGGAAGCCCCTCAATGAGATGATTGATTCAGTGACCGGGGGAATGAGGAATGTGTCAAAGTCAGTAAGGTCGCCACAGGATAGAACAGGGTTCAGAGGTGTTGTACACAGGGTCACTATTAGTCGCAAGTGACTCGATGACACATAACAACAACAACTCCAAGAATAAACATGACATCCTTTCCCTATCTCCTGAATCTTTATTCAGTGAGTCATAGGCTAGGGGCATCTTGTCCCTCCATGTTGCCCTTTACAAAATATTCCCTCTAATAAATCCCTTTCCTTGCTTGCATGCAAAAGCCTGGACTCTTCTTTTGCTATTCTTACTTAACAGGTACGTGGTTCGAATCCACCAGGTGCTTGCACAGGAGAAAGATGGGTAATGTCTTCCCATGCGATACAGTGCTCTCTCTGAGAACCCACGGTTGGGTCAGCTGTGGGTCGGTGTTAACATTTAATATAGAACACTGAGAATTTAACAGGAGGGAGAAAACCAATTTACAGAGTGCAGGGGGGATGTTTTCCTGGTCATGACCTTCAGCGCACAGTCCAGCCACACTACCTCACTGCCTGCATTATTTCTTCAGTTCTATGTCACAGTTCTTTAAATATCTTTTCTATTTAATCTTGGCAACATGGTAATTTCAATGACCACTTTTCATTTCTATTAAGTTTTGTTTGTAATCTTTCTTTTTGATACTATTATGTAAACTCTATAAATCATCAAACTCTTTATCCATATTTTGCTTTTTTTTTATGTCTAACACCTATTAGGAAGCTGTGGTGGCCGAGCAGTAAGAAGCTATTCTGCAATCCTAAAGGCATGCGGTTCAAATTCACCAGTTGCTCCTTGCGAGAAGGATGGGCAACTTTCTCTCATGCAATTACTCCCTCTGAAAATCCACTGGAATTCAGGGGCAGCTACAGCTTGGTTACAAGTCAACAGTACAAACCAACAACGAATCCATTAACTGAATTTTTAAGCTGTGATGATTATGCGTCAAGTTGGCCAGCGATTTGCCTGTAACAGAGACCAAATGTTTGAGCATGGACTACCATGGTATCATGCAACCTTGTCAGCCCGTCTGGAACTAGAAAACAAGATGGTGACCAAATCACCAGCCTACAACAGTAGGGGTGTACTAGAGAACCCCGTGAGGATAACAGATCCGCTATCAAGAATGACTCGGCTTCACCTTAAAGGAATGGGTAAGTCAGCAGAGGCAGGGGTCCACAACGCTGGGGTCAGCATCTCGCCCCGCTCACCTGCTCAGACCGGGCTTACCAAGGGCTCTATGGGATCTGAACACAGTGAGGGGATCCTCCCAGCCAACAGTGTGTCCAGCTGTCCCTCAGTTCGCAATACTCAAAGAGTACTCTGAGATTCCTGAGTTGTGGCCAAAGGTCTGACTGGGCAATTAAGAAGCTCAAAAGGACCATGAATGAGCAACTGTTAACCAGGAGTATGGGAAAGAGGCACAATTCAATCCATGACCACGGTGTTCCTCTCACACCCAAGCGTCCCAAGTCCAGGAATCAAGGGGGGAACAAGGGTGACACTATCACTATTACATCAAGTGACCCCAAGAACATCTGCTTCCTCCCCACGACCCTGAGTTGTGCTTTCCACAGGTCTATTAACCCAGGAGACACTGATTCAGCGATGACGCGGCTGGACGTTAAGACTGCCATCTGACCCCGGGCTCCACGTGCCTCTCAGCCAACAGGCAAAGGAAGCAGTGATGGGGCTGCTCTGACTGATGTGCGAAAAAACACCCTCCAGAGTCTGCAGTAAAGTCGAACTCAGCTCGGAGGACAGAGCAGAGCTGCCTGCACGCATTCCAAGGCTGTCCACGTCTATGGTGGCCGACTGCTCCGCTGACCTCCCACAGCGAAGCTGAAGCGCTCCAACGCCCCATCTTCCAGTCAGCACATGACTATTTTAACCACTGCACCAAGGAGATCATCTCCCTTTCCAAGGCGAAGCTGGACAGCTGACCACCCAAATGAGTTAAGAGCGAGAAGGTCTGAAGTACGAAAAATCCTTGCAGGTGGCTCTTAGAACTCTGGTACCCAGTGGAGAAAGCCAATGGGAAGCGATCCACAGAGCAGATTCCATGTCATGATGCCCCTCGCTGGCCACGGTGGCCCTGTGCCCACAGAATGTTAGCGCCTCCTCTACTCAGTAGGCAATGAGCAGGCCTTTCTTCTAAGGTATCTCTGAACAGACTTAAGCTTCCAACATTTCAGTTACCAGCCAAGTGCTTTAATCCCCTGCACCTCCTGGAAATTCTAACCCAACAGCTTCCTTAAGGGACAGTGACCCCACGTGCCAGGCGAGCTGGGAGCCACAGGCTTTTCAATAATGGGTTAATATTAATTGCTTGGGTCTGGAGTAGTTTATTAAATCACCAAGCTTTTTTTTCTGAGATGCCACGGCACGAACTTGAACTTCTCACCTTCTGGTCTACTAACTATGCATGTTAACTACTGTACCACCTAGGGAGTCTAAATGCAACCAAATTGAGCCCAGCCCCTTCAGGACTGAAGATTTCCTCCCCCAGCAGGCGAAGAACACTGGCTTGAGGTGCTTGCTGACAGCCAAGAACTACAGAAGAGGTAGTGGCTGGAGGCAGCAGAGCCTCAGGTACCAGCCAAAGGGCCCCCGGTATCAGCCGTGGCGGCCCTGGTACTACAGGGCCCCCGGTACCAGCCATGGGGCCTCTGGTACCACGGGGCCCCCGGTACCATGGAGCCCCCAGTAGCAGCCGCGGAAGCGAGTGTCCTCCTCCCGTGTCACTGTACTAGCAGGTGTATGTCTTCTCTTCCTCCTTGGCCCTACAGGCTCGTATGAACCACCAACCTTCCGGTTAAGAGCCGACACTCTGACAGCAGGGTCTGTCACGGAATGTACGGTCATCAGAACAGGGAGCTTTTCAGCACAGTATTTGGAAGTGACAGGACAGGAAGAACGGTAACCTCTCCCGTGACCCTCCCTGCTCCCCTGGGAAGGGGTGGTGTGCTCTGGGAAGGGTGTAGGACCACCATCCAGATGGGCACAAGTCTGACTGCAGTACAGCTCCTGGAAGCACAGTTTAAGGAGATGAATGTGGACATCAAAGGAGTCTGGTGGCACAGTGGTTGAGTGCTTGGTTGCTAACTGAAAAGTCTGTGCTTTGAGCCCACCAGCTGCTCTGTGGGAGGATGAAGCAGGGTCCACACAAGCACAGTGGCCTTGGGAACCCTCGGATGCAGGCAAGTCCAGGGGCGCACTCTAGGTCAGAACCCACTCAACAACCAAATGTCTGCTTGTGGCACGAGGGCCAAAGTGACAGAGGGCAGACTCATAACTCGTCCTGCTTTGAGGCTACAGTGTCCAGCTGTTTAGTAAAATATGAATCTGAGCGCTGCCATCAAGATACTTTATAAAGGTCTCTGCAGACAGCTTTTTAAAGTGGGATTAGTCCTGGACACTGGGAAGGGGCCACATTCAATCAATGAGACTGAATGATTTCCAGAAGAGAGACTTCTGCCTCCAGGCCAGAGCCCAAGTTCCTGGTGTGCAAGGGACCGTGCTGCCTGAGGGCTGCCAGACCCCACCCCTGAGTGACAAAGAGACAAGGGGGCAGCCTGCTCATTCTGAGACCCCCCCCCCGTAGGGCCAAGTCAGAGCTGAGCCCTGCTGGCCGTAGTGGCTGTGGCTTTCGGCACTGTCGAGCGGCCATTCTCAGCGAGAGCCTCGGCACGCCGGTACAGCCGGCGGTCTCAGCAGCACCCTGGCAGCGCTCAGCCCAACACTCGGAAGCGGGAACCCAGGGTCCTGCCTTGTAGACGAGTCTCACCTTGTACAGACTGTACTGGCGATTCCTGGGCCCAAACTGCAAACATCACATCCAACTGCAAGCAGGTGAGAGACACAGCCATGGGCACAGCCCTGGGCCAGTTCGCACCAGGGCCTCTGTCAGCCGCACCTGCTCCCTGGACAGTCACTGTCCTTTCATTAAGGTCCTGAAGAGCTGCAGCATGTCTCCACCTGGCCCCGCACCTCCAACCTTGACCTACCCAGTCCATCATCTCTGTGAAAATTACCTCTCCACACTTATGTACAACTCTACAACACATCCACAGCCAACTCCCTCCACGTGCAAGAGAAAACCAGACAGTCTGGAGTGGTTCTCAAGACCCGCCCTGTGTCACTCCAACCTCTGTTCTCTGCTCCATCACCAAGCGACCTAGTGACAGCTAACCCAGCTGACCCGGCTCCTACTGCCCGAGCTCTGCACATGCTCCTCGCTTAAGCAGAGTGAGGACCCTCTGGTCCTCTCACCACGTAGCTGGTCCGTGAAATAACTGCACCACGTCAAACGGAATTATTACAGATGCATTTGCCACAAGACCTAAATCTATTCTTTCTTGTCACCAAATGAGTGACAAACAAGGGTATTATGCTTTATGAAACATTTATAAACCACGGTTAATATTCATCAACTCTCCAGAAGAAAGGTCTAAGCAAGACCAGTTGTTCACAGGACATGAATCCGGAGTCTGGACCTTGTCCAGCTACAGAGACGGGACGCACCTGCGCCACAGCGCTCCTCACCTTGTGGGCAGGGACCAGGTTGACCAGCACCGTGTCGAGCAGCTCCTGGGACACAGTGTCCCCCTCGCAGATGATGGAGCTCATGAGGTCCACCATGTGCATGTGCACCTTCTGGTTGTGGCCATTGCTGAAATTCAAAACAGGAGTTTCACCTGAAACAGCCATGCTGCAATCGCGGGGTGACTGACAAGTTCAACACTTTATACAAGCTCAAGTAGATTCAGTATATGCTATATACACCTGTCAAGATTCTCACCCCCAGATCATACAAAAGCACCAAAGGTTTCTTTTAAATCACATTTGGGTTTTTTTCCTTTATTTTCAAACAATTCCTAGATCAATATCAAAGTCACCAAATCAAATATAACTTATTTTTTTCTTAAATTTCAAGTCAAATTTGGCTATGCCAAACTTAACTGCAATAAACAATACTCTTTATAATACCAAATGAAGCTTGAATATTCCTATGAATTAGGGAGTCAAAATATTTAGTAACAAATTTTTTTAAAGTCTATACTGACAGCCAGTTAGGTTAAGCCAGCCTTCTGACCACTTAACTTTATGCAACACAAAAGTAAACTGGACTAGTTTTCACACATGCGTGAAGAGAATCTGACGTGAGCTCTTTCCCAGGGAGAAGCTGGAGCCTTCTGACCATGGCGCCGCCAGGCACTCCTGTGAGGCTGATCCCACGAGGACCCCGCAGGACAGAAGAGAACCGCCCCGCCAGGCGTCCAAGGCTGGCACCTTGCTGAGAATGCACAGACACATCTCGGGGAGGCAGCTGGTGGGTCCGAACCTCAACCTTCTCGTTGGCAGACCACCTATTAACACTGCACTACCACGGCTTGTGCACCAAGCTAGCTTTATGTCAATTAACCCACAAATTATACATTCTAGTCTTTACTTCTGAAAGTTAACTGATTAGTAAAGTAAACTTACTTTATAACTGAAAATAACGTGCGGTAGAGTTGGGTAAAGATTTCATTGCTGTCTTCTAACTCGAAGCATATGTTATATGACTTGACCCAAGCAATGTTCTATGAGGTTAAAAAAAAAGGGTAAAAGGGAAACACTTGAATGAGTGAAGCAATGCCAGCACCAAAGTCCATTTTCAACCTGCGCACCTCAGGATATGCCATCTTGCTTACCTCAAGTAAATAAAAATACCGATTGAACTGTGGGCTCTTCGTGTCCTCCAGCCCCTTCAACTGCCTGGTGATGAACATAAATATATCCTGAAAAAGGGAAGGCAAAGCACCACTTAGATGTCAGCACAACCAGAGACCACCATGTCGAGGCAGCTCCCACGCAGTGGGCACAGACACGCAAGGTCACACAGACACGCAGCATCACACAGACACACAGGGTCACGCAGACTCACAGAGTCACACAGTCATGCAGAGTCACGCAGTCAAGACTTCCGTTTAAGCGCATGTAAACGCATGAAGTTCTGCTCGACTAGGCATTTTCAAAGTACACCTTGATAGGACTAACACGAATCACACAGAAAGCTTACTACCCTTTCTCAGAAAAGTCATTCACTTACCATTAACTAAAGCAGAGAATGGAGAACTTCATTCAACAGGAAGTTAACCAGACAGACCCATGGACAGGGTCAACCAGAATGCACATGACTGAGACATAGCCATCAGTCTAGACAGTCCATGGTCACCTCAGGGACCTCATGGTGGGGACAGGGCAGCAATCAGAATTCAAACGTGGCTATGACTGAAACTCAACCCACCTGACTGACTAGACGGTCAATGCATGGACACATCAGGGACCCTGTGGTGGGGACAGGCCAGTGATCAGTGATCACAAACATGGCCATTCGGGGAAGAAGAACAAACTGGGGAGGAGGATAGAGAGAATGGTGCAGCAATGAAGGAATGAAAACCCAAAATCCCTGTAAATGTTCATTAAAACTAATAAAATTCAATAATAATAATAATAATAAAAACATGGCCATTAACTGAGACCCAGCTCACCAGGCTAGACAGTCAGTACACAGTCCCCTTACAGACCCTGCAGTAGGGACAGGCCAATACAACTGTACACAAGGAAGCCATGTGCACCTGCTGGACAGCTCGTCCAGTGTGCAGAGAGGGACACCCTGACTGGCCCATGAAGTCTATGACGTGTACACCACAATGCAGACAGCCCAAACGCTCAGTGATCTCAGTGAGCACATGCAGCTGGAGAAGAGCCAGGCAGCAGCTCTCACAACCCGTCAATTTCTAAAAAATGTCCTCCGTGCAAAGCACAGTAAAATAAGGGACGCCTGGAGTCAGCAGGGAGCAGGACCACCAGCACAATAAAGTCACTAAGTAAAAGCAGAGCACAGACATTTTTAAAGGGTCCCTGGAAGAAAAATGGTCACCAGCCTATGTAGCCATGCCCCATGCTATCTAAACCTCGTAGCACCCCTTATTTTCCATTCTAGACTGGGTGTTCCTCTGCATCTGGGAGCAGACCACTTCAATGACATGAGCAGTATATTCCTTTTTTCTTTTTTTTGTTGTGTGTACCATCAAATCAGATCTGACTGGTACAGGAGGAGACTGCCCCTCCTTCTCCAGCACAGCATCTGGTGGATTTGAACTGCATGCCTCTGGCATTGCAGTGCAAGAGTAGGATATGCTTATGGAAATGATTTTCAGAAGAAATGCACGTGATGTCAGGGGGAAATGTGGAAAGGACTTAAAAATTAGAAAAGATCAATTGATTCTACAAGGACTCGTGGTTACTAAAGAGATTAATTGATTAATAAAGAGAAGAGAGACAAATATAATACACATACACGTCCTCATGTCTATGTATTTCCCTCCAAATAAAACTGTGACCCAGGTGTAGGGGGTGGTGTGTCATGTCAGTGATGGAACTGATTAGCAATAAAGCAGCTCTCAGGGGTACAGGGGACCACCATTGCAAAGGGTTTCCCCAAAAGCAGAGGCTGAAGAAATGTCCTCTGGGGGAGGGGAGAGCATGTTTCCAACCTCTCCGTGATTCCCGATATGAGGCCTCAGGCTCCCACACGAGGGACGCGGTACATGAAACGAGGCTTCTGATGACAACAGCAGAAAAGACCAACTTGATGTCGTAAGAGAATCAACAGCAAGTGAAAACTATTTCATAAATATTTATAAAACTTCAAGATTAGTAACTTCTAAATACTGCTCATTCACCTTCCTCTCACCATCTCTTCTAAAAAGGCACATACACACACCCATGTTTATCACAGCTTACTTCACAATAGCAAAGACTTAGAAACAACCTAAGCGCCCATCAATAAACGAATGGATAGAAAAGCTGTGGCATATTCACACAATACTACACTGCATTGAAAAACAAGAAACTCATGCAGTATTATTCAAAATGGGTGAGCCTGGTCCATGGTCTCTTCTAAACCCAGCTTGAACTTCTGACAATTCTCTGTCAGTGTACTGTTTCAGTAATTTTTTTAATCAGCTTCAGCAATATTTTACTTGCATGTGATATCAATGCTATTGTTTGGTAATTTCCACATTGTCTCTTTTTTGGAGGGCAGGGGGCATAGGAACAAATATGGATCTCTTCCAGTTGGCCAGGTAAACTGTCTTCCAGATTTCTTGGCACAATCTTATAAGCATGTTTAGGGCTGAATCTGTCTGTTGAAACATATGAGCTGGTATTTCTTCAATTCCTGGAGCCTTAACTGTTTGCCAATGCCTTCAGTGAAGTTTGAACTTCCTTCATTATGAAAGGTTCTTGCTAATACACTACTTCTTAAAATGGTTCCATGTAAACCAATTCTCTTTGGTGCAGTGACTCTGGGTATTCTTTTCACCTTCTTTGATGCTTCCTGCATCATTTAAGATTCTACTCATAGCACTCTTCAGTGCTGAACCTTATTTTTCAGTTCTCTTAGCTTGAGAAATGCTGGGCAAGTTCTTCCCTTTTTATTCTCCAGCTCCACCTCTTCCCACATTTTACTGTAATACATCATCTTCTCAAGCTGCCCTTTGAATTTTGCTGTTCATGCCTTCTACGTCAGCATTCCTAGCACAATGTTCAGTCTCTCTGGACATCCATTTGGCCATTTTCTCACCCTGCCACTGATCTTTTGCTTTCTATACAGATTATGTCTTTGATAGCATCTCACAACTCATCTGATCTTCAAACCACTTAAGGACAACAAAATTAGACACTCATAATTAGTCATCAAGTGATACACTTGTATCACTTGTATTACAGCAAAGACTGAGTTCTCTAAGGAATAGGGTTGACCCTGGAGCTCTTGGCTTCTAGAACAATGCTGTTGTTGACTATGTATGACTCATAGGAACAAAAGCTCTCAACTTATCTCTGTCTGAGCCAATCTCACCACCTCTACACCCTTGACTTCTAGAGTCACAGTGTCAATCCATCTCTTTGAAAGTCTTCCTCTCTCAATGACCTTGCACCTCAAGCATGAAGTCCTTCTCCAAGGACTGGGCCCTCCTGACAACATGCTCAAAGTACGCTTGCCTCCAAGGAGGACTTTGGTTTCACTCTTAAGACAGGTCTGCTCTCTTGGCAGTCCATGGAATAAGTGAATACTCTTCTTCAGCACTACAACTCGAAGACACCAATTCTTCTGTCATTCTCAGTCACTGTCCAGTTTTCAGATGCACAGCGAGCAACTGGAAATACCATGGGCTGGATCAGGCGCCCCTTAACCTGAAGACTGCCATCCCTGCTCTTCAGCTCTCTAGACATGTCCTTGACACCAGATGTTCCCAAAGCAACGTGTCTCTTGATTTCCTGACAAGAGTGCTGACTTGATCCAAGTAAGATGAAATTGTTTATAAGGTCCAGCTTCTCTCCATCTATCTTTTGAGGCCATAGAGGTGGACTGCCCCTTTGAGATGGAAAGCTCTACTCCGTGGCACCCTGTCCCTTCAGCTCCTGCTCCCTTGGTTTCTGGAAGGGGCCAGACATCCTCTGTCCTGCTCCAGCTGATGTCACAGAGCTCCTTAGCCCTGCAACAAATGCCAACTGACAGCCCTCTCAGCCGGTAAGCCTTCAGGCATGTTCCAACTCCTTGTTTTGGTAAGCTGGCTCCACCAAGAAGCGCCTCACTCCACCCGTCCCACCAGGGAGTGCTTCACTTCACCTGGCTTCTGCAGCTCCTAAGGGTGGGACCCCAGCTTCTTCCGTTTCAAGGAATCAGCTGTTGGCCACCTGGGTTCCAGAATGTGGGGTTGACATTAAGATATGAGAGTGAAGCTGACATGCTGACAAAGAGGAAAACTGAGGGGCCCACCTGACCCAGGAGAAGGCTTCCGTCAGCCAGACCAGGAAAGTGGGGCTGCCCAAAGTCGAGAGATGGGAACAGAACCCTTAAAGGGTCAGGAAGGAAGAGCTAAAGGCAAGAGGTCTCCATCCTGGACATGGGGAGCACAACAGCACCCCTGAGTCGGGAGGCGTTCCACCCAGGGGGGCTCTCACAGGACCTGCGGGAGCACGACTCTCAAGCCTTGAGGGCAAAGGCACACTGCTCTGCTGGGTGTGTGATCGCTGGCCTGGCGCCTGCTGGGCTCAACCTCCTGCCCTCCTCTCTCTCCCATCTGTAACAGCAATGTCTCTCTGGGGCTTGTGTCAAGAAAGTACTTTGGAGCAGATAACCTGCATCCTGGATTGACAGATAAAAAGGAGTTTTATCCCAAGATAAAATTTGGACTTGGCTTCCTTTTGGGACAACATGTTGTTGTTGTTGTGTGCCGTCGAGTTGTGACTCAGAGTGACCCTATGTACACAGCCTTAAACCCTGCTCTATCCTGTGCCAATCGCATTGCCTCTGACACACCCATCCCGATTACCCCAGTCACTGAATCAATCCACC